TGAAATATGAAAGCAAACAGAGATATCAAGTTCAAAATGTATAAAATTGCTTAACGATCATCGTTGACTTCATATTCATCCAATGTTATTAATTATTTGAGAGAAAAAGGCATCAATATAATATAACGTCCGCCGTATTCGCTGTACCCAGTACTACATAATTTTTGGTTAAATAATTCTATCGATCGAAGTTAAACTGATTAAATAAATGAAATATGATGTGTTTATGCAGTTTCCAAGGTAGCTGAAAATTTTTTCGAAAAAGAGTTCAAAATAAACTTTTAATAAACTATTAGAAAGGATTGAACTTGCTATAAATAATTATAACAGCTATCATGAACATTTGATGAAATAAAATTGAAAATATATCCTTATCTTTATATTTTTTTTTAACAATCTGGGAACTTTTGGACAGACCTAAGTAAGTTTTCTTATCAGATTATCTTTTGTTTTTTTCTCTCCCTTTTATAGACTTACATCAACATATATATATGTCGTCACACATTACTAACTGCGCAATAAATTTCAGTTCAAGGTCAAGAAAACAAACGTTTTCTTGACTTTCATGAGAAAAGAGAAAAAAACGAATAACAATAGAGATTGAAGAAAACGAACAAGAGTTGTTAGATGAAAAAAAAAACGAAAGTACAGAAAGAAAGCAAAAGAACACACTAGAGAAAATATCTAACAGAGAACGAAAGAAAAAATATAGTTAATCATATATGTATGAAACGAAAGAAAGAGAACGAACATATATGGATAACATATATGGATAACATATAACTTTTTTTTATGGCACATCTAACATAAGTGCCATAACACTCTATGCATAATTTAGTCGGATGCTTCGTCATTTTCTATGTTTACATTCAGTTCAAAAAAAGCGATTACTAGATCAACCATCATCCTTATTATCCACTGAATTGATTTGAATATTCAATAGATGAAAATCTTTTTAATACAGAATGAATTATGAATCAAACTATGTTTTTCATTTTTACTTTCTAGCTTAGTTTCTTAATTTTTCTTAAATGTCTCAATCAAAGTATCTTTGTCGAAATGAAATTGATCCAACAAATATTCCAAGAGATAAAAATGATTTTATTTGTTGGTCATGTTCGAGTCGAATAAAATCAATCAAGGATGGAATCATGAATGAATTGGAAATAATTGGTGTAAACTCTGCTACTGCTGCAGTAAGTTTTCTAAGTTTGAAAACTTAAGACTCATTTGATAAACTGCCAAAAAAGAAATATTGTATTTTTTCCTTTTCATCACATACATTTAAAAAACATTGATATCTATATATATAATGTTCAGTGTCTGTCTGTCTGTTTCTCTGTGCCGGGTCAGAGGTCACATAACGCTATAAGGGGAAGATCTCCAGGGACTATTAAATGGGTACTTATAGGTCCCCCAAGGGCTATCCTATGGGAATAGCCATAGGTCCTCAAGGGCTATCCTATGGCGGTATCCATAGGCCCTGAAGGGCTATTATGTGGGGGTACCCATAGTCCTCAAGGGCTATCCTATGGGGGTACTCATAGGTCCTCAAGGGCCATCCTATGCGGGTACCCATAGGTCCTCAAAGACTATTCTATGGAAGTACCCATAGATCCCCAAGGGCTATTATATGGGGTACCCATAGGTCCTCAAGGGCTATCCTATGAGGGTACACATAGGTCCCCAAGGGCTATCCTATGGCGGTACCCATAGGTCCTCAAGGGCTATCCTATGGGGGTATCCATAGGTCCCCAAGGGCTATTATATTGTGATACGCATAGGCCCTGAAGGGAGTAAGGCAATAGGGAGATAAGGCTACAAGGAATATACGGCCCAAGGCTGCATGGACTATAAAAATATGTGCGATATGAGAGTATGAGGTCGTAGGGCAACCTATCTATATACATAATATCGAGTGTCTGTATGTATTTTACCAGGTGAAAGCTTAAGTGTCTGAGGCCATACATTAATGGAGAAAACAGCCGTGCAGTATGCATGGGTTCTCGCTAGTAATCTTATACTCTGCAGAAAAAAAAATTGTTTAAATAAATTAATATACATTTTAGAAAAGGCGTGTGGCTAATTGGCAATTGAGGTCATTTTCTTTTGTTCACCTATATTATATAGGACGAATGAACTTTTCCATTAATCATTTGTTTCGTCTATACACATATCGCCATCGCCGACGAACATAGTCAGAGATATCGTACATATAAAAGGACATAAAATAAACGTATAACAGACAAAAAAAATCTGGAAGGAAAAGTTATCGCTTTGTACAACCAATGAATATCAACATAAATATTACGGTTAGCAATCGTTCAATCTCATTATGAAGACATTGAAAATATTAAGATCTTCATTAGTTATTTCGCTTCTTCGACTATAGTCGAGCCGCCATTCAAAACTCGATTGAACTATACTTGTTCAAATCAGTAACACCGTGGCATCCATCATCACCCTTACATCCACAAGATAGATAGTGCCGTGTCAGTTGGAGCTACGGTGTACAGGGTGTCATCAATCTGAAGAAGAACTGATTTATTTTTAGTAAAGGTAGCGACGACATTCAGATGAACCTCAGATTTATCTATGTAAAAGATTAGCAGGTCTACCAAAGACAACTTATAATAATTTATTTTTTAATACATTTCCTACTCGGATATACATTTTCTATAAATTTGCTTTATTTTTTCCAATCATTTACAATGTTGTACATAAAGAAAACATTAATCCTAATGTTTTGACATGTTTAATTGTTAAGAGTTATAGATAGTTTTTTGCGATAGTTAAATGTGCAATTTTCATTTAACATATTTTTTTGTCAATGAACCTTAAAAAGATAATACTTTATTTCATTTGAGATAGATATTTTGGAACAGCCTTACGTATCAATAAAATCACTTTTTTTTAGAACTGTACAAATTATCTTGACTAACTTGAATTATAGCAAAGAGTGCAGCTTTTGTACATCTTGATAAAATCATCACTACACCTCTAAAGTTAATGCCTTAATGAAGTTTTACATCAACTATATCGATATATATAAACATGATGAAATGATTTTGTCAACTTCCTTTCATTTATACATAGGTATCAACACCAATGTGTACAATAAATCCAACATTCAATATCAATCCATCTTGCAAGCCAACAATGACAATCAATCCAACAATGTCATTTAATCCGACAACGACAATTAATCCAACAACGACGATGAATCCGATATTTAACAATACATCAAGTATTCCACCTCAACATGGTCAAGCAACACCACAACATGTTATTATTGATATTGATCCAAGCATTTCTGAAATAATGACTATTGGTGGTGTTCATTCTAAAGTAAGGATCAATTTTTTTAAAATATAAATTCGTTAGAAAAAATATAATCGAAGCAAATTTTTTCTTGCAAGTTACAATTCATCTTTTTATGTCTATTTAGCGATGTGGTGAAAATGGTTGTATGGCTGTGAATCATATACGTGCTAATAAATTAAGCTGTAGCAACATTAATTGTGTAGGTAATAAAAAACATTAGATAATTCGTTGTGCTTGTTTGTCTTGTGCATCTTTTTCGTCTTGTCCACCCTCCTTGTCTTGTTCGTCCAAATTTTCTGATATTATTTCTCTTTTGTGCTGTATTAAGATATTTCTTTTTCATATTCGATCGAGTTTCATCACTTCATATTATGTCTTTTTTTTTGCTCATATAGTTTGAACATGTCGTTATTTCATATTAAATCAAATTTATTTATCTGTTGTGCAATATAAGAGTCTTTATGATTATATGCTTTTTTTTGTAATATAGTATTCTTTGTACGTGATATATTGTGCGAAAATTCTACTTTGTCTGATATATTTTTTTCTTATGGATTATTTGTAATAAATTGAGATATGAAATTCTAACAATGCATTCACAAGTTATGAATATATCCTTTCTTTGTCGGACGGTTACAAACGTTTCTATGTCATAAAAAAAACTGTAAATATTAATAAAACATCTGTAAAATGGTCATCTGATAGACAAATTATAATTATTAGCAGATGAAGGAAATGATAATCGATTATTAGTATGAAATCAATCATCTACAAATTCAATACAAATTATACAGCAGTTGTTAAGGCAATTGTATGGAGTCCACATCAACAAGGTTTATTAGTAATTGGTAGTGGAATAGCTGATAGATATATTCGATTCCGGAATACATTAACTGCACAAAGTTTACAACGTATATATATAGACGTAGACAATGTTATTTGAATAATCGTGATTATTCATAGATTGAGAGAAAAATCGACAAAAATCGCCAGTTTAGGCGATAAAATCGCCGATTTTTACACGATTTTGATGACATGAAAGATGTTTATCGTGTTTCATATTCGAATCTCTTTCATTATTAATCAAAATCATTTTCTAGCTATTCCATCAAAAGATCATCCATTACTTGTTCGAAACATCTTAAAATCTCATTGGTTTATGATGTTACGTACAAATAAAGTTTGTCAATAACTTTTTGAAGTCTTTAGGTTGTCCAGCAAATGAACATAAATTTGTTAAAAATGATAATGAACAAATAACAGTTGCTGATTATTTTAATGATAAATGGAAAATTTGTTTACTTCATCCACAATTACCTGTTGTTGAATTATATAATCTAGCTGATAAAAATAAAACATATTTTTTACCAATAGAATTAATTACTAATGATAAATAATAATGAGGTTTTAAATTACTAACAACTGAAGAATAAATAGCAAATGAATAACAAAGTATTGCTACATAAGTTACTTGTATTTAAAATTTTATATCAAAAGAATTCTTTTTTTTTATCATATTCTATTCTTGAAATAATTCATCTAATGTATTTCGAAGATAATCAAGTTCTTTTTTTTTTGAAAGTTTCTTGTTTATTTTTAGTTAATTCGTGACGTTTTTTCTCACAATATCGATCGATAGATTGATAAGGTCTTTAATGTCATTGTTCAATTTGTTTGAGACAATACGGTTCGACAGATGATAATCGAACAACAAGTTTATCGATGTCATCAACTAGATGCGATAGAGTTTGACTGCATCGATTTTCGTGTTCATTTGAATGATCATGAAAAAAGTGACAATCGTAGTGGTTGCATGTGTGATGTGATAAACTTTGACATTGATGAATGGAACATGGCTCTGATGAATCTTCCATTCGTTCATAGTGTTTGAGATGAGTTGTGAATAGTGACATATGAAATGTAATAATGTATTCAATGCATAGCAAATGTCTTTTTTTTTATTATTGAAAGATAATTCATTAAGTAAGAGAAATAAATGACAAAATAAAATGTATACTCTTTTTCTTTTATTTTGAAATGAAGTATAATATTTCATTCGATTTTATGCAATAATGAAAATGTTAAAATTCGACATTTATTATTCTCTTCTTAATCTTTTGATTTGAATTTCTAACTCCATTTCATCAACAAAGTTGACTTCTTCAGATAAAATCTATAAAATAATGTATACGTGAGCAAATTTTTTTCTTACAACCGCTGATATGGTCTTTAAGTTGTAAAACAAACCAAAATTCATAATAGGAATACTTCAATTATTCTTATATGTAATAAAGAATTGTTTATTAAAGCATTAATATATACAAATCTAAATGTTATTCAAATCATAAATATTAGTTTCATTTCATGTGTTCTGTTTCTTGCTCAAATGACGTTGAGTGAATTGTTGTCGATTCACGCATCTGTATATCCTTTTCAATTTGCAACAAATATCATTACATAATCAATTGTTCGTGTGCCAACAGGAAGAGACTAATTATCTGTTACATGACACCCAGGCAGACAAACTTTTGAGAAAACGCGTTTAAACGTACAGAAATTGGCCTAAAATCAACAAAAAGTGGACGTTTTTGGCTCACACTTGAGGTTCCCGACTGTGAGCCAAAAACGCTCATTTTTCGCCCTTGTTGTGCGTTTAAATGCGTTTTCAGACAAAAAACGCGTTTACACGCATATAAAAAAGAGAAAAAGTGGTCGTTTTCTCATACTCGACATGCACAATCATGATTACAGTCACGTTTCTTGAGCTCGAAAAACACAACAACTTTTTTTTCTTTTTTGTATGCGTGTAAACGCGTTTTTTATCTGAAAACACATTTAAATGCACAAAAAGGGCGAAAAATGAGCGTTTTTGGCTCACAGTCGGGAACCTCAATTGTGAGCCAAAAACGTCCACTTTTTGTTGATTTTAGGCCAATTTCTGTGCGTTTAAACGCGTTTTCTCAAAAGTTTGTCTGCTTGGGCACCATGCTAATATGCAAGCAATTGGACTTGTTGTGACAGTGGATAAAGTACTATTTGTAGCTGAAAGAAAAATAAGAGTTACTTGAGTAGTATCAAGTAAGGATGCATTAGTCGTTTTTTCCCAAAATGAAATCGATACATGTAATAAATCTGAATCAAGTTGTGTAGTTGAAAATATACTGGTTAAAAATACTTTTTCATGTAAAGATTCATCACCAAGACCTCAACAAAAATCATAATAACCATTACAGGATACGATACTTCCACTATTAGCCGTTCCATTATCAATCATAGGTGAAGAACTGCTACTCGATGTCCATAGATTACGTGCACCAAATTCTGTTCCAGGATTTATCAGAAAAACTGGTACTACAGTTGTCGTTTTTGTTGTTTCTGTTACTATAAAGTTATACACATAAATATAAAATTCATTTGTTGGAAAAAAAAAGCAAATATCAAAACTCATTTGATAAATCATACTGGACTAAATTGAAGAAAAAGTCAGTTTACTTATCGATTTTGCACAGAATTTTATATAACTTTTGCCCATTTCAAAATAAAAGGCGGATGAGTATTTTTTGAATACCTTTTGATAGGAACAAGATAGAGAGCTACGATTTTCACCGTTGAAAA